CCGCGGCCCCTCCCGGTCGATCGGAGGGGCCACAAACCTCCCGCTCGCCGCCCCCCTCCTCTCACCTGGTAGCTCCCCCGCCTCCGCACCCAGCACGAGCAGGGCCAACAGCAACGTCGGGCCCGTCATCATCCTCCTGCTCCTCCACCTCTTCCTCCCGGACTCCATCACTTCCGAAAGAGCTCTGCCTTCTCCGCGGCTTCGGCTCCCGGACCCCCGCAGGTGAGCCACGCCTCCTGGCCCCCCGATGCCCAATAGAGGCCCAGGACGTCACAAGCACCGGGAGCCACGCCTCCCCCCCAGCCCCACACCTGCACGGAGAGAAGGAAGGAAAGCCGCGCCTACCCTCTTTGCATAAGCAACGGAGAGTCACGTGGTGGAGCAAAAGTTCGGACGAAAACACGGGACTACGCGCAGCCCTCGCGTCCGCCGGGAGGGGGGGCGACCGGAGCCCAGAATGTTATATTTTGGACTACCAGTCCCAGAATCCCCCAGCCAGCAGTTTCTCCCCTCTCCCCGCTCAGGCCCGGACTTTATCAAGCCTCCCCTCTATCCCCATTCCGCGCTTCTTATTTCTTCTTCTTTCTCCGGTGGGTGGGGTGAGAAGGGAAAAGATGTCCCTCTTTTCTCACCAAGGGGCCCACGAAAATCGGGATCTCCACGGTTTGCGGGGAGGGGGGGAAGCAAAAGTGGCGAAGTCTTTTGTGAGCCCCACCCCTTTCCGCTTCTTAGTCGCCACCGCCGCGATCTTGGCTCGTTCGGAAGAGACGCAGGATCGCGCCTAGTGGCTACTCATATGGGGGTCTCCAGGTGAGGGGGTGCGAGGAAAGGGGTGTTTCCCGTCTCCTGCGTTTGAACACGGGGGAGGTCCGAAGGATCTGCTTCTCCTGGCCGGGGGGCGGGGCGGAGGTCAAACGGGTCCCCGGCCTCTCCCCAAAGGGCTACGGAAAGCCTCGTCCGGAGCCAAATGTCGCGGGGACGGGGGGGGACCTCTCCTCCCGCTTGCAAGAAGAGCGTCTTCCGCTCCTGGTGTCACGTTGATGCCTCGCTTGCTGGAACGAGCCCTCGGCGCGCTCTATCTTCCCGGCCTGGCTTTCCTTCCTCTCCGGCTATCTGCTCCGCTTTCCTGCCCAGTCGTGGGAGGCGTTTGTGACTAACAAGAGGTTAAACTTGTGGCTTAAAGGTTAAGAAAGGAGAGTTGAAAAAAATATGTCTTTATGAAATATGGGGCAGATTTTTTGGAATATGTGTTAATAAGAGGAAAAGGGGAAGCTCCAAATCAAGAATCAATGCAGTTCTGGAGAAGAGGACGATAGAAGAATATAGATGGAGGAAGAAGATTACAGCAAGAGGTCCCATCTATGGTGGTGGGGAACACAGTTAAATTCTATTTTAGTTTATGTGTTATATGTTTATGTGTACAGTATAAGTATAGAAAATAAAAAATATATATTTTAAAAAAAACAAGAGGGTCATCATCCAAGCAAGGGAGAGGAGGCCCAGAGGGCGGCATCATCCTGCAAGACGCACACTTTCCTGCCCTCCCTCCTTCTCCCTCTGTGTGCGTGCGTGAAGCCTGAACAGTCACAATGGGGGGAGGGCGGCAGTGCCGGCCAGCCACGGGAAGGGGGCGCCTTGTGCCTGCCCAGCCTCGCCTGGACGGGGCGGCCGGGCGGCGGCGCTAGGGGGCAGGCTACCCGGCCGGAGCATCTCTCCGCCGCAGGGAGGGAGCGAGGGAAGGAAGGAAGGAGGGGCCGCCGCCGCCCCTTCCCCGCCTCCTGGCCGCTATAAGGCCCCGGGGGCCGGTGGGCGCTCCGTCTAGGGCGGGCGACTGGCC